TTCCAGGAATCCTGGAAATAATATACAAAAAAAAAGAGATATTTTTGCCAAAAAAAGAGTCATTTTGAACCATTTTGGTATCTTGGTGGGATGGTCTCCTGCATGCCATGACTTTGGGTGGCTTTGTCAAGGAAATCCCACTATTTTGGGGGTAAACAGCTGGAAAACAAGTCACAGGAGTCAACACCAGCACTGGCTTGGGGCTCCGAAAAATGACATGTGGGGCTGGTTTGGTGATAATTTCATTTTGGGGGCTGGAAAGGAGCATTTCCACACATTTTTTGAAGCTTTGGGTGCTGTGGCCTCCTGTTGCAGATGCTTCAGGGTGTTTTATTGATGGACCTGGGAATACGACAGCAACTTTTGAAGCCCAAATCCCACCTTTACCAGCAACCGTTATTAGAAAACCACTAAAACGAAAAAAATTCTGTATTTTAATTCAAGGAAAACCCTTTGATGGAAAGCCCTAAGGACACCAGCGAAACATGCTCACAGCTGCCACCCTTAACCCTTGCATCTTCCAAGTGCAAGAAACCACCAAATTTGGGGTGGGAAAATTAAAAAAAAATGGGGAGCTGAATTTTTTTTTTTCCACTCGGGGCTACTGTTTTGGACGCAGGGATGTCATTTTGCATCCCCATCTCTTTTTTTTTTTTTTTCCTAGCACCCCTACCCCACAGAGGACGAGAAGAGGCAAATTGCCGCCCAGACCAACTTGACCCTCTTGCAAGTCAACAATTGGTGAGCCTGCGCAGCCTATAGCATTTTTTTTCACGCTATATAATGGGTTTTTCTGGGGTAACTTTGGGTGGTTGGGATGATTTTTGGGAGACGTGCTTGGGTGTGTTTATTTGTTGGCATTTTTTTACAAGGTCTTGGTGCCCTCTCCTGGCAAACCCGATGTGTAGCAGCTGCCAGCTCAGCTGGAAAAATTAATGCAATGGTGTAGCATGCCACAAATAAATAAAATTGGGTAAAAAACCCAGCTTTTTGGACCATGCATCCACTTTCGAATGTGTTTTTATATTTTCAAGTTATTGAATTGTTATAGTTCTGCTGGTTTAAGTCAGAATTGCTGTAATGGGTTTTATTTACTCTAATGTTCTCTCTTTTTCCCCGGAAAGGTTCATAAATGCCCGGCGGCGCATCCTGCAGCCAATGCTCGACGCCAGCAACCCGGACCCAGCCCCTAAAGCCAAGAAAATAAAATCTCAGCACCGGCCCACCCAGCGGTTCTGGCCCAACTCCATCGCCGCAGGGGTCCTGCAGCAGCAGGGTGGCAATTCGGGGACAAATCCTGATGGTAAGGACAAACCCTGACAGCCCTGGGTGGGGTGACCATGCATTAAATTATGGTCCTAATTGGTTAATTAAGGATTTCTAGAGCCTTTGATCCCCACTGTCGGGAAAAACATGTTGAGGAGGTGGGCCATGCAAGAAGGTCCTTCCAGTTGGCCATTGCAAAGGCGCTGCCATCTCGTCAGTGTAGGAAGAACCCTCAAGGATCACCCGCTATGGGGCATCACTTGGGGTATCTCCTGGGGTGCAGGGGAGGGGATGAAGGGGGAGATGAGGAGAGGAGACAAAATGGAAAAAAAAGATGAAAAGATGATGATGAGAAGACAGATGACATGAGATGGGAAGGAAGAAGATGCAGATGAAGAGAGAACAGACGATGATAAGACAGGTGAGAAAAGATGGGAAGGAAGAAGATGAGATGAACAAGATGATGAAAATTAAGAAAATAGAGAAGATGAAGATGATGAGATGACATGAGACATGATGGGAAGAGAGAAGATGAACAGAGAGCAGACAACAAAAATGAAGACAATAGAGATGAAGATGAGATCAGACAAGATGGGAAGAAAGATGAAAAGATGAACGGAGAACAGATGATGAAGAGAAGAAGGGTAGAGAAGATGAAGATGAGAAGACAGAGGAGAAAAGATGGGAAGAAAGATGGAAGAGAAGATGAACAGACAATGAAAATGAAGAGAACAGAGAAGATGGAGAAGCCAGATGACACAATGGGAAGAGAGAAGAGCAGCTGAGGAAGCGAGTAGAGAAGATGAAGAGATGATGAAGAGGGCAGAGAGGAGCATGGACCAGACAAGATGAGAAGATGAAGAGAAGGGAAGGTAGAAATCAACAGAAGATGAAGACAAGATCCACCCAACCAATTTGAGCATCTACTTGCCTGAAAGTGAAGGTTTCTTATTTAACAAAGGTACATTCGCCAAAAAAATGATGGGTTGTCCTTGGGGAGTGGCTGAGGCAGGTGGGACACCCTGGGGGATGCCCAGTCTAGGTACAGCTTGGGGTTATTGGTTTCTTGGTTATTCTTGGATATTCCTGGTTTATCCACTTTTTTGTCCTTTTTATATTAGCTGGAGAGTCCTTATTTCTATATTTTTTTTTAAATTTCAGGCTCGCTCAGCATGGACAACCTCCAACCCCTCTCATCGGCCACAGCCACCATGGCCATGCAGCAAGCCATGCTGGCAGCCCACGACGACTCCCTCGATGGCACCGAGGAAGAGGAGGAGGACGAGGAGGACGAGGACGAGATGGAAGAGGAGGAAGAAGAAGAGGAAGAGCTGGAGGAAGAACCCGGTGGACTCCCAACGGCACCCGGCGCTGACCTCAGCTTGGACCACAGTGACTCGCTGGAATAGCTCCTCCCGCGCCCTCCCCAAAAATTATGACAGCACCAGAAAAAAAAAACCCTTCCCCCCCAAAAAAAAGGCTAAAAAACCCTGTCAAGAACAAAAAAACACAAAAATCCATGAGAAAAAAAATTGGGAGTTGCCGG